TTGGATAACCAGTTGGGGTGGCAAAGTGACTAGATACAACTTTCCTATATACCTCAGCAAATCCTTCAGCACATATCACAGATTTCTCAACACAAACACTTGAAGCCTGTCACAAAAACAGTTCTTCCAGTCCTCTGAAGCTCCCAGAATCAACATCTCCAGCTTATGTGTAGGGGACACTCATGCTGAGGAGCGCCTTGCTCTCGTAGGTGTCTGTTGCAGTCTTAGCCCGTGGGAAATGAAGCTCTGCCTCCTTTACTATCAGCCTGTGTACGCAGTTTTCACCCTTTCCTCTCTGACCTCTCTTCAATACACCACTTCTTCCTTTCCTTTCCACTGAAGTACCTTTGGGTGGCATAGTTGCCACCATCATTCTACTAGTTTGCCCAGCTATGCGTCCTTGATCCTTTCCATTATTTTTTACAAAGGGGAAGAGGAGATGTGACTCAGCATGTAGGTCCAGGCATGCAAGAAACCCAATCTGATTAATTGTCCATAACCAAATTTAATTCCTGTGCTGAGCCTTTCAGCCCATATTCTTTTTTTTTTTCACCCTCCTCAGTACCATCGATTAAACCCAGAGCCTTTGCACTGAGATACCTCACCCCCATTTTTTTTTTTTAATTTTTAGGCAGGTTTTGATAAATTGTCCAGGCTGTGCTCAAACTTGCAATTCTGCCTCAGCCTCCCAGAGTATTGGGATTACAGGCATGAGCCCCTGGACTTGGAGAGTCCCCATTCTTTTGAGGGGTAAATGTTTAATGCTAATTGGTGTAGGGCATCCCTTTTCTAGGTAGGAACTCCTCTAGGCTCCACAGCATCCTTTCTGTGCAGAGAAAGGACCAAATCTGGGACATGCCCGGGCCCTAGCTCTCTGGGTGCCCCCCTCTGCCAATTCATCTCCAGTCTTGATACCTCCGTTGACATTTGTGGTGGCCTCCTCTTCTTGAAGACGGTTGAGACCTCTTCTGTCTCCCTCTTAATCCCCACCTGCAGAGTTTAGTCCAGGAAGGAGGGCATAGGACAGCTTTCTCAGGAAAACATTAAAAACCTTGGTCTGGGTTTGATTTTTTTTACTCAGCTTCCCTTCCCAGACCAGAGGGTCTGTCTCATTTGGAGGCAGGGAATTCAGGGAATTCAGCTATTAGATATCATCGGGCCTCTGTTTCAAACTACTTCCTCCTCCTCCTCTTCCTCTCTCTCTGTCTCTGTCTCTCTCTATATCTGTGTCTGTCTGTCTCTGTCTCTGTCTCTGTCTCTGTCTCTGTCTCTGTCTCTCTCTCTCTCTCTCTCTCTCTCTCTCTCTCTCTCTCTCTCTCTCTCTCTTTCCATCCCTATCTCTTGCCTCTCTCCTCTTATTTCTGTGTTTGAGATAGTCACCATAGAACAGCCTAGTTGCTATACAATGGGGGGAAAAACCAAAGGAAATATATTAGGGGAAAGGTTGGTTACTATTTTTCAACTCTCCTTCCTTAGCTGGGCATGGTAGCACACACCTGTAGTCCTGTTAGAGACTGAGTAAGGAGGATTGCTGGAATTTGAGGCCAACATGGGTAACACAATGAGATTGCTGTCTCAACAAAAGAAAAAACATCCAGGAGTGGTTATGCCTATAACCTATATAACCAATTATGCCTATAATTCCAGTACTCTGGGAGGCTGAGGCAGTTGGCGTGCAAATTTGACTCCAGTCTGAGTAACTTAGTGATTCATCAAGACCTATCTCAAAATAAGATAGAAAAAGAAGGCTGGAAATGTAGCTTAGTGCAAAGGCCCTGGGTTCAATCTTCACTACTGAAAAAAAATTTCTTCCTTCAAAGATTTTCAGACCTGCTCTTGATGCTTCTGCCTGGCAGGTATAGTCTCATCCCCATTCTCCCTGCCTCTTCAGAAAAGCACACTAAGAAAAGGACAATCCTTTTCAGGTACAGTCAAGCCCCTTGTCACTATTCTAAGTCCAATTGCTCACTATAAAACTGTGTCTGTCTTGCTCCACCCATCCTGCACAGATGTCTGCTTTTCTATTTGGCCTTCACCCATATCTGGAACAAAGGAGTGAATTTCGCAGTGACACGGCTCCATCCTGAACTCCTTCCTTTCAAATGATTCTTGCAATTTCTCTCAGAAAGAGTGTATTCTGCTGGCATTTGGGCCTTGGAGCTTTCTCTGTCCTTCTCTTTCTCACATATAACATTCACTTTGCCAGGTCTGTTCATTCCTAACCCAATTAAAAAGGGCCATTCCTTCTGGGAAAATGTCTTAAAATGGCCAGACCCTCAGACCAGCTGAGCATTCTGGAACTAATAATGGAAGACATAGTTGAATCATTATTAATAGGTTCACATTGAAAACCTCCTGGGGAGTTGGGAGGGAGTAGGAGGCAAGGCCTTCAACTGTAGGGCAAAGTGGACAAGGAGTCCTGCTTGGGAAGGCAGGAATCATATGCTTCTGGTGGGATATAGGCTTTGGGGAAGCAGAGTGAGATTTAAAGGGACCATTCAACTTTCTGTCCTTTCTTAATCCTATCCAGGGCATCCTCCTGAACTGGACTAAAGGTTTCAATGCATCAGACTGTGAGGGCCAAGATGTAGTGTTTCTATTGCGGGAAGCCATCAGGCGTAGACAGGTAGGAGCCTGCCTTTAGGGCTGCTTTGGGACCATGGCAGGTCTTGAGGGAACTGGGGGGTCTTCTGCTTCATGAAGGGAGGCCCTCTGCAGTAGAGACCTCTGGGTCCAGTGCAGGTTGCCATGACGACTGCTGTTGCCCAGTAACTAGCAGCATCCTTTTGTGTGCAGGCAGTGGAGCTGAATGTGGTTGCCATAGTCAACGACACAGTGGGGACCATGATGTCCTGTGGCTATGAGGATCCCCAGTGCGAGATGGGCCTCATTGTTGGTGAGGAGGGCCTTACCCTTGCATGACCTACTTCCTGATAATTTGCTGCCTCCTGTTGATTCCTCAGGTTGGATGTTCCCTTGGCTTTGGGGATGTGGGATTATACTTGTCTGACCTGACAGGGCCTCAAACACTAAATTGGGCTGGGAGTCTGGGCCTGGACTCTTTTATCCAACTCAGGTACAGATTCATAGTCACTGAATCTTTCTGAGCCTCAGTTTGCCCATCTGGCAAATGAATCTCTGCTTTGAAGTCATATGGATTTGGATGGTAATACTAGCTTTGCCATTTCTATCTGTATGGCCTTGGGCAAGTCACTAGAGCCTAAGTTTCCTCATTTTAAGATGTAGATAATAACGATGCCAGTCTCAAAGCATCATGAAGACACAGTGAGAGGGGCCAGTGTGGCACAGTGTCTAGTTCATGGTTCATACTCAGTGTTTGAAACTGGGCTAAGTGTGGTGGGAGTGATGAGCTAAGTGAACCCTTAAGTAGCCTAAGACTCCTAGTCTTCATTAAGTTCCTGCCCTGTAGTCAGCTGAACCTGGAAAAAGACACAGGAAAACATATGAAAGAAGGGAAAATCTGCCTCCTGATGTGCATATTGGGAACACGTCAGGGAGTGAGGTAAATGCACTGACTGTGGTGCCGGTAGGGGAGGTCACGGAGGCCTCAAGGCCTTGATGCTAGCAGAATCTTTACTAGGGACTTCAGGAAGGAGGGAGGAATGGGACCAGGATCACATTTTAAATGCAGGAAGATGAAGTAGGGATCCTAAACTTTATCATTTTGGTGTGGTAAGTGCTCAGAAGAGCCTTTTCTGTATGAGTAAATGAATTCACTTTGTCTGGCCTCTTCAGGAACTGGCACCAATGCCTGCTACATGGAGGAGCTCCGGAATGTGGCAGGTGTGGCTGGGGACTCAGGTCACATGTGCATCAACATGGAGTGGGGTGCCTTTGGGGACGATGGCTCTTTGGGCATGCTCAGCACCTGTTTCGATTCAAGGGTGGATCAGGCATCCATCAATCCTGGCAAGCAGAGGTGTGGCCTGGGTCTGGGCAGGGCTGGCTGCCAGGGGCTGAGACTGGTGATGGTAGGTGGTGGGGTCTTCTGTTAGGCAAACATATACACACATGTTCTTGTAGGTTTGAGAAGATGATTAGTGGCATGTACCTAGGAGAGATTGTCCGCCACATCCTCTTAAATTTGACCAGCCTTGGCGTTCTCTTCCGGGGCCAGCAGACCCAGTGCCTTCAAACCAGGGACATCTTCAAGACCAAATTTCTGTCTGAGATTGAAAGGTATCTGAGTCCTGAATGGCCTCCCCACCTCCCAAAGGAGTCTGGGTGCCCACCAGCTGGCTGCTGATGTGTGCGGTCCAACCTGGAGGACAAAGTGAAAAGTCTTGAAGATGGTGTGTGGGGGAGCTAATACAGGACCATGTCTGTGTTCTGCTCTTTCCTGGCCCCCAGCGACAGCCTGGCCCTGCGGCAGGTCCGAGCCATCCTAGAGGATCTGGGGCTGACCCTGACTTTGGATGATGCCCTGATAGTCCTAGAGGTGTGCCAGGCTGTGTCCCGGCGGGCTGCCCAACTCTGCGGAGCAGGTGTGGCTGCTGTTGTGGAGAAGATCCGGGAGAACCGGGACCTAGATGAGCTGACAGTGTCTGTGGGGGTAGATGGGACCCTCTACAAGATGCATCCTCAGTGAGTCTGGATGAAAGGGCCAGGCAGGCCAGCATGGGCAGGTGGGACCAGGTAGAGCCTCGGGGCCTGGGATAACTTTAGCCTCCCTCCTTTACAGCTTTGCCAGGCTTGTGGCTGCCACAGTACGGGAGCTGGCCCCTCGCTGTGTGGTTACCTTCTTGCAGTCAGAAGATGGGTCTGGCAAAGGTGCGGCTTTGGTCACTGCTGTGGCTTGTCGCCTTGCTCAGATGGCCCGTGTCTGAGGAACTCTACAGGAACTACAATAACTCAGCCTCAGCCTTGCTGGACCAGGGCTGGGCCCAGCCACCCAGGACTCCCAGAACAGCCTATATGTGACCCCTTGGTGGCCATCTGTCCTCATCCCGTTGGTCTCCCCAAAAGAAGTAGCACATAGGTTAGCAATATATATATATAATTTATTTACATTCACGTCCGCTAAAATCCCTACGTGCCCCAACGGCCGGGCAAGGCTGTGTACATAAGGCCAAGTGTAAGTGCACGAAAGCACTTAAGACAGAGTCAGGACACAAGCTTCACACAACAGGCCCCACACAGGGGCACCGGCCAGCCCCAGGAACGGGCACACCATGGCACACACACTCGCCATTGTACAGCCCGGGACTCCCATTGCATATTCACACGCCCCGCCAGGCAGGACACCTCGAGGCTGGGGACAGGGGGGTAGGATCAGGAAGGAGCCATGGGGTGTCCCTGGTGGGTGGAAGAGGGCAGCATGTGAGAGGCAGATGTGTACCGACACCGGGCATGAGAGACGTGAGCGGCCTCTGGGTGACAGCAGGAGATGTGTGTGGTGGTGGTGAGGTCTGCAGGACCCAGGAGTGGGTGTGTGTGAGATGAACACACGAGGCATGCGTGGGCACATGCCTGTGTGGTGGTCGTGTGCCTGAATCCAGGGGCAGCCCCCTCATTGGCTGGGTGCTCAGTCCCACAGGCCTGGAGCTGTGCCCTTCCCCAGCAGGCACAGAAATGTTTGCATAAGGCCCAGCTCTGGCAGGAGCTCTGGGGCCATGTCCAAGCCCAGCGTGTGCATGCATGCCGTGTGTATGCGGGGCCCCTGGCAAGGGGTAGGAGGAGAGGTAGCATCACACGCACATATACACACACAGATGGGCTGGGCCCAGCCCAGGCTCCAGGCACTGTCCCCCAAGGAACCTGGGGCTGGGACAGAGTGAGCAGGTGGCTGTGCCTGCCTGGATAGACAGGCCATGGAGGAACTGGAGTTCAGGCAGGTCTGAAGGACCAGCATTAAGGGACAACATTGGCCAGGAAAGGGCCTGTCCAAGCAGCTCTCCCCAGTATGGGGTAGGGCCCCTGTCCGGCTTCTGCCTGTCCCTGGTGGGTGCCAAAGCTGGTGAGAGTGTAGGCGTTTTGGCCTGGCTGACCTCAGCATTCGGCCTCTGACACCGTGAAGAGGCCAGCATCTGGCTGGCCCAGTCCAGCCACTGCTGCCGCCAGCTGGCTGAGGTTGCCATTGGGGAAGTGTCGTGCCTCCCACAGGTTGAGGATCATGGCTGTGGGGCTTGGCTTCGAGGCAAAGAAGCTGAGATGGCTGTGGAAAGGAGGGAGCCTGTCAGTGGCTTGGCCTCACCCCAGCCTACCACCTCCTACCTCCCACCTCAGCCAAGGATAGGACCTCCCCCTTAGCCAAATGCATTGACTGTCCAGATACTAAAGAATGTAGCACAGGCCCACAGGGTCTCCTGGCTATCCCAGCCAACCCACCTGCCTGGGATAGACTGTGGGTGGCTTTTGTAGCCCCTCCCCACCCATCTTCACCCACCTGTCTAGGTGGAGTTTCTGGGCTAGAGTCCGCCAGTCGGCACCCCGGCTGCATGGCGGATCCAGGCTGGTAATGATCTTCTGCCGAATGAGGAAGGGGATCTTGAAGGCACTGGGGCCCACCAGGGCTGGGACCCCCCCTTCACTCTCCAGAGCCAGCAGCTCAGCAAACCTCGTGTCCTAGGTGAGGAGAGACAGGGAGGAAGAGCCTGTGAGAACCTGACCACTGCTGCCTCCTGTGGGGGGAGCTCCCAGACCACTCCAGAGCTGGGGATAGCAAGGACACTAGCACTTCTGAGGTACCCCACCGTCATGTGTCAGGGCCCTACTCTTTGATTCCAGGGCTTAGAAGTACGTGACCTGCCCCAAATCAGAACCAGTGAGCAGAAGAGCCCTCTGGTCTCATTCTCCTCCATTTTCACCCTCACCCTGAGTTCTGGCTGCTGGCCTCTGCTGACCATTTAGCCCTCACTGTTCTCTTTTCATCGCCTTTGTCTTCCTCACTCAATTCCCGCCACCACAAATGTTCTTTTCCACACTGATGCCTGTCATCCTAGGACCAGTGCAAAGCCCTCCTCTGGGAAGCTTTTTAGAGCTCCCACCAGCCCTGTCTCCTCCTGCTCCCCCACCCTGTTCCCTCCAAGTTCCTTTTGCATGTGTACCTCCTACCCCTTGGAGGAAGATGCCAAGTGGTTTCTGGAAGGAGAAGGTATAAGGAAGGGAGAAGGGGCTGGTGGCAGGGTGGGAAGAATTGGTCCAGGGAGTGGAACATTTCCTGGGATTGGTTGTGACAGTATGTAACCCTCCTGCCCACCTTGGTGATATTGAAGTTGATGTTGAAGCTCTGCCCATCGCCCTCCACCTGCCACACCCACACCTTGCAGGCCAGGTCACTGATGCTGGGGCTGACACGCTCCAAGGTGAAGGTGCAGTGCAGATATTGCTGTGTGCCGTTCCAAATATGATAAAAGGGGATCTCCTGGCGGGTGGCAGAGGAGATGTCAGATGTGCCCAGCTCCAGCCCCTTGGGTGCTGGTGGTGAGCTTAGCCCTCACCTGGTAGCTGACAAGAAGCTTGCTCTTCCACAGGGAGCTGGGCACATCATGGATGGATAGGCGCAGATTGTGGTAACTGTCCTTGAAGTGCAGAACTCGAGGTTCCTGGATCAGCTGTCCACCCAGCTGCTTCTCCAGCTGTACCACCTCCTGCAGGGCCCCAGGTGATCAACAGAGTCTAGGGCCTGTGGGGACCCCTTCCTTTTGCAAAGGGCCTCCATGCCTAGGGCTAGGGGACTGGGGAGGGGGCATTGGTACCTTCAGTGCATCATGGGTGTCATGCAGGCAGTAGACACGGATGTTGTACTCGAGGGAGGTGCAGGCCACAGGGGCAAATAGAAGCAGCTTGAGGCGCTTGGCCGCAGCCACACTGAGAGCCTCTCCTACGAGGGCAAAGCGTCCCAGCTGCTCCGTGAAGACGTAGCAGGCACCGGCCTCTAGCTGGCAGTAGTAGAGGTTGGAGGGTGCCTCCTCACCTAGGTGCAGCACATCCTGCAAGTAGAGCCCAACATGTGAGTTCCCCTAGCCTCAAGTCCTCCAGCCACATTGTGCTCTGAGATTCAGCCAGAGATCTGGGAGGGCTCACAGCACAGTACAGAGCCACATAGCTGCTGAGAGCTCAGTGTGAGTGCACAAAAAGCCACACTCTACATGGAGGCCAGTGCTCAGGTGGGCGAGCTTGGGTCTATCCCCTACTCACCTCCCAGCTGCCTTCACACGATTGTTTTTTGAGGCGTAGACTCCAGCTTTCGGGGCTGGGCTCCCCACAGTGGTCCATGGCAAGGATGACTGGTCGGGTGAGCAGGACTCCAGGGGGACCACAGCTAACGATGGGACTCAGCAGGGTCTGACAGCCAGCTAGGGGCAACCTCAAATAGGGAAACATGGGTAGAAGGCGAAAGGTGTCAGTGGCCTGTCCTAGGGGCCAGAGGAGGGGGAAGGTCACCCCAGGGTGAGAGGCTAAAGAGCTGGTGAGCTCTTCCTCTGCCCTCCCTCAAGCCAGCAGGTCCAACAGGTACTGGGCAAGGGCATCCCAGGGACAGGCCACAGGCAGGACCCTACCAGCCCCAGCAGCAGGGCCCAAGCCCACACCTCACGTCCTCTGGCTTGTGCAGAGTGAGGTAGATCTCGTAGATCTTTCCCCGGGGGATGGCGTCTGGAGGGATGAGGAGGCTGATTCCTGTAATGCAGTAGGAGGAGGGTCAGGCTTACTTGGTGCAGACACCTAACACCACACCAGCCAGCCCTTCCATAAATCTTGTGCTGGGGACAGGCCAGTACCAGCCTGGCTCGAGGTCACAGGGGCTACAAGGACTTCCACGATGTCCAACCCCTCACACAGGCATGAAGCTGAGTCAGTCCAGGGGTAGCTGAGGAACAGCTGAAGTGGAAAAAGCATGCACAGTTAGCTTGGGCGCAGAAAACTCTGGGACCAGGTCTGTTGGCCCTACCTTCTGCGTTGCCCAAAAGACACCTTCCCTAACTTGTGATGAAGTCCAGCTTCCTGGCTTGGCATCTAAAGGCCTTCACTGCTGCTCCCGCTGTCTTTCCAGCAGGATCTCCAGCCTAGCCGTGCTATATACTGGAACCACTGCCCTTCTGCCCTCCTCCATCTTCTCCCTTCTCCACTGGCCCAGGCCCCTCTAGGGCATGGCCACTCCCTGCCACTGTCTCTGTCCTTGCAGTAGAGCTTAAGCAACCCCATGGCCTTTGGCAGCTCTCCAAGATCTGGGCACTGGCAAAGACTCTCCCAGGTCTGGCTGCTGCGTGTGCCTCTTCCCTAGTGTCTTACAGGAGTAGGATCAGAGCACCTGTGGAGAAAAGAGGCTTGAGGGGAGGGAATAGGACAGGATATGTCAAGGACAGGGGCCTGGAATTCACTTCAGGGACATGCAAGGAGTGGCCATCCTCTACCTAGAACAGGGAGCCTCTGAATCAGAAAGGAGCCCTCCTCTCAGCACGGTGGAAAAGTGAGACAGATACTCAGTGCCTTTATCTCAAAAGCAAACATACTTTCCAAAGTGGGGTAGCTTGGAGGTGAGCTGAGCTGGAATGGCACGACATCTGGGCTGAACTTGTGCTCCATGTAATAGTCCTATTAATGACAGACTGATATGTGATGGTGGCCCTATAAGATATGTCACCTAGTGATATCAGAACTAACCAAGTTTTCATAATCCTACTCTGTGATGGCCACACAATAATAAAACTGCCTGAGGGTACATTCCTCAGAACACATTCCCAAGATTAAGTGATGCATGACTGTATTTTATAGAAAATTGGAGCCCAGCAGATAGGGACATTGAGGGCATATTTATAGTGACTGCTTCCTTTACTAACCCATGCTGCCTCCTGGTACTTAGTGCGGCTGGTTTTGGTGCTGATCCCGGACAGCCTGGTGTGCATCCTCTCTGTGTAGGGGAGGTTCACACCCTTGTGTGTACATTCCAAGAATACTAATACTGGATATTCAGGAAGGCTAGGGAAAGAACAGCCCCACTTTCATGAAGCTCAGCTGACTGGGGAGAAAGAAAACTTCAGCAAGGATGCAGGGCAGGTGGCTTCCCCACCCTACCAGGGAAATGGGTGGCCGGTGGCCCTGAGCACACATTGTTTGCCTACCTCCCTCACCATAGCATTATAATAGTCCCGTGAAGGGCTCATCATCATTCTCTGTCCAGAGGGGACATGGGGCACAGAGCATAAGAGCTGCCAGGCTAGGACTATGACTCAAAGGAAAAGCAGCAGATGAGCCCATGGAAGGGCAGAGGGACTCTCATGTACAAATGGAAGTATGGTGTATTAGGGGTGTTGAGGGGTTTATGTGGTTGCCATATGCACGAGAACATGTGGGAAGGAAGAGGCCACAGCAGCCTTGTCATCTCTACCTTGTCACATGGGCTCTCTAGGGAGCAGCAGGGAGGCCCAGCAGGCAGGGGGTAAGCCAGGTAGGTACATAATCAACTCTGGATTCATTAGGTAAATGTTTGGGGACTGGAAATGAGATAAAGGCTGTGTTGGCCTGAGCCAGGAGAAGCATCAGGGTAAGATAAGAGGCACGGGGAGGTAAGAGCAAAGGAGGTGGGAGAACCACAGGAGTTGGTGCATGACTGAAGCAGGAATGGGCCTTAGAGGCAAGTGAGGAAGGGCAGAAGGTCAAGGTGACCTCCCGCTGGTTTCTGGCCTGATCAGCTGGACTCTGCTATAAACTGGGGAAAGCTGCAAGGGAGATGGCCCTGAGGGAGACTGGGAGACAGTTCTGGTTTAGGCTCAGGAATTGAGGTGCTGTGAGACATCCAAATGATGCTACCCAGGAGGCAGCTGTGTGCAGTTCTGGCACCCAAGAGAATGGCTGGTTGTAGCGATAGACACAGACATGGTGAATGAAGCCATGGCATGGGTGAGGTCACTGGAGAAGGGCAGTGGCAGTGAGCTCATAGAACCCTTAAGTTCAGCTACCTGGAGCAGCCAGAGAGGGGCAAAGAAGCAAGAGGTCAACAAAACTAAGGAACTAGAGAATTCAGGGTAGAGTAGGCAGTCTCACCAAAGGCTGCAGATTTTTCCCAAGATGGCCACAAGAGTGTCCATGGATTCCCCAGTAGGGTGTCTCTGGGAAGACAGGAAGCCACGATGCAGTGGGGGCTCCAAGAGGCCCCCTGTCTGGACTGTGTTGCTCTGCATTCTCTGCTATCTGCCTATTCATAAAGCCCCTTGGGGCTGCTACATGCCCTCCCTCTGAGCCCAAAGCCCAACACACATAGGCAGTCTGTGTAGATGAGTGGACAAGTCTCATGTCCATAGGCAACAGAAGGGAGACAACTGTAGCCATAGTCCCCATGCCAGTGCTCCTGCCAAACCCAGCAGAGTTCTTTCCACACCTCTAACCCTTGCTTGGTGGCTCAGCTGTGTCCCTCCAGGGTGAGAATGAGGAGCCCAGGAGGAACATCTGGGCTGTCCTTGTGCTCCAGGTGGAAAGCAGAGGCCAGACTTGCCTCTTAGGCTGCCTGGGGCACTAAGGTCCTTCCTACCTGTATTAGGGATCATCAGCCGGCCCCCGAGGAAGTTGAAAGTCCCATAGGCCATGTTGCTGGTGCCACGGGGTAGGGAGCGGAAGTAGTTTTGAGTGGAGAGGCGGGAAACAAAGTCCTCGGCTTCTGAGGTGGGTGAGCTGTGGTGCAGTGTGTGGCGACCGCCACTCAGAGGGCTGAGCAGGTGCCCATTAGTGAGCTGGAACTTGGGGCTGGGCCCATCTTGCCGGGGACACAGACTGCCCTGGTAGGTGGTAGTGGTGGTGCTGAGGTCTGGCTGGATGGTAAGCAGATGGGGGTTGTCTGCAGGAATAAAGACAGGCTCAGGGAAAGGCACTGAGGGCTGCCCCCACAGGGGTAATTGGTGTGGGGCCTTGGCAAGAGTGCTAGGGGCAGGGGCCATCTCACCTGCTTTGCTGGGTTTGATACTGACAGGCTGGAAACCTGAGGTGAGGATAGATGAGTCGGCCACATCAGAGTCCAGCCCCTCCTTCTTACGGCAATAAACGAGGATGAGGACGAGCAGCAGCAAGACGAGGCACACGGCCACAGCAATGAGGCCCACATAGAGGGCCACATCCTCAGGGCCAGAAGCAGCTGCAGAGGAAAGCATGGCCTTGGGAGCGGCAGGGGTGTGGGGCTCAGAAGGAGAGGGCAGTGGGCAACAGCCAGGAGGGTGAGGTCTTCAAATGAGCATCAATGCTGGCTGGGCAGTGGACATTTGGGGCACTTAGTATATACTCTAGCTCCGTACCTGCCAAGCCTTGGTTGGGATTCTGAGCAACTCACATTTCTCTTAGGCATGAGACTCAGGGTAAGGTAGCTGCCAGAAGAATGGAGGGGAGGAGGAACTATGGACCCAAAGTGGGCAGCCCAGTACCTGAATAATAGGCTGAGCCTGATGCCTGCTGAGCCCACTACCTGATCACTGCCCCAAGGACCTGGGGCTTGAGGGAGCCTCTGGGCTTCCTGAGGCAGGGTGCTAGTCACAAGGTTCATACATTGGAAATATAGTCCCCAGTGTGATGATATGAGAGGTGGTGTGACTTTTAAGAAATAAGGCTCAGGGGGCTGGGGAGATGGCTCAGTGGAATAAGCACTTGCCTGGAAAGAAATAAGGCTCAGTTGGAGGTCTTTAGGTTATGGGGGTACTGTCCTTAGAAGAGATTAAGGTATTTTTGTGCCTCCTCCCCCCTCCCCCTTCCTTCCTCCTCCCCCCTTCTTCTCTTACTATGTGATCTCTCCCTCTTGTGTGAGCTCCCGCCTTGATGCCACCCACCAACAATTCAGGTAGCTAAAAGGGCCCTTCCCAGAACCACTGCCATATTATTTAGAGGTTTTGCTTCCAAAACTACTAGCTAAATAAACCTCTTTTCTTTACAAACTTCCCAGCTTCAGGTTCTTTAGTATAGCAATGAAAAATGAATATGCATTGTATCTGCTTCCTGTGTGGTCCTGGTCCCTAGGCCTTTCTCCTTGTCTGTCTCTTCCAGGCCTGGATCTGGGGATTGACTGCTTGGAAGAAGCTATATTGATTTTTAGTAGGGTTTTGCATAATGGAAGAAATGTCCATCAGAAAGGAATTGACACAGATAATTAGGTTTTTAATTGAAAGAAGAGGGGAGGGTGTGTTCTAGAGAAAAAAATCCAACAGAGATCTTTAATTGTTAGTTATGGCCTTGTAATTAACAGGCCTCACAAGCCTGACATCCCCATAGGATTTGTGTGTGCACCTGGGGGTTAGGGTGGACGTGAGGCTGTAGGAGAGGTGTTTGGATGAACAGAGGGATATACACAAGTCAAGGTTGAAATTCATGCCTGTCTCTGGAGGCATGAGAGGTGGTGAGCATGCATGGAAACATGTGGGCATGTTAGGGCCAAGGGAGGCTCTCCAAGAGTCCTGAGCTCTGAAGAGGGATGTAACCTGTGGCAGGGGAACAAATGCTTTAGTCACTACCTCCCCAGAGAAGACTCACTGTGCACGCAGAGATCACTGGTACAGTTGCGGGTGTCCAGGTCTGTGCCCCGGCACTCCTCACCCCCATTTCGGGGTGCTGGGTCAGAGCACTCCCGGCTCCGCCAGTGTGTGCAGTCGAGCCCACAGGCTGACCACTTGCTCCATGGGCTCCAGCTGCCATCCACTAGATGAGAGACAGACAGGCAGAGAGGAGACAGGGCAGTCAGCCTGAGGAACCCGTCCCAAGTGGTCTGCTAGTGTAGCCCCACTAGGCATCTAGGCCAGGCAGGACGAGCTGACCCAGACCTGGGCATGATCCCAAGGCCAGGCCCACAAATCTGCATGCCCTCAATGTCCAGCTGGCTTTGATGACACACATGCTAATGACAGGGAGGCGTGGATGACGCCAGAGGCTGCTTGACTTTCCCCAGCCCAGGGAGGCCATCCTGGTTCTGGGGTAGTAAGGGCTCTCAGTCAAATGATGACCCTTTTGGTCCCAGGCACAGGTAGATTCTGCAACCCCAGGCTGAGCTCCAGACCCAGTTCTAGATTATACCTTATACTCTGTCACTTACGCCCTGTGTTGAGCCCCAAGCCTGGGCAGTAACTAAGCCCTGACTCTGAAGACACACTGCAGCAATATCCCTGCCTCAGACTTATCCTGGCCCTGTGTGGTGGGCAGGTGGAATGGAGCCATGGGGGGGCAGGCTGGTGGGCGCGATGGAGCCGGGGCACGGAGATGACGTGGTGAGACCGATGTGGGAGGCCATGGCCGCTGGTACCTGGGCACAGGGTGGCGCAGGCTGTTTTCTGGACATTCTGCCCCTCACAGAAGGCACCCCCGTTGAGAGGCGCCGGGTTGGTGCAGCTCCGGCTCCGTTTCTGCCAGCCACGCCCACAGCTGGCACTGCAGACGGACCACTCGGTCCACGTCGACCACCCACCGTTCACTGGCCGGACAGAGAAGGACTGGGGTCAGGGAGCGGGGGCTTCCTGAGACACAATGGCCCAGGGGACAGGGATAAGCACAGGGGCTGTGAACTGGAAATGGTGGGCTGTGGCGGTACTGGAAGAGAAACCCTGAAGGGGAGGGTGACGCCTGTGCCTGCTGCCTCAGGGGCTGGCAGCATCCCCTGCAGGACCTGCCTTTTTCCTGGCAGGTGCTTGGGCAGCCAATGGAACTGAGCTCACCTGCAACTCCAGCCCGGACTCCAACCTTTCACAGGGTAATTCCCACACCCTATTCTACTGGCTCCTGGTGTGCCTGGAACCACTTGGCCCTACTTCCCATTCTGGGGATTCAAGCGCACCAGACATGATTTGTTCTTAGATCCCCATCTTAGCCCTTTGTCTCCTGTACAATGTTTCTTTCCCACGGATGACTGCCAACCTGTCCTACCCCTCTGCCCAGTCACATCCCTGACATCACCAAGTCTTATGCAAACCCTTTCCTTGTCGTACCTGGTCAGGCCACTGTTACGTCTACCTGGCCTTAGCTCCATGGCTTTCTCTACTCTGCTAGCCACACATCACTCCCATGGTGGCACCGCAGTACCTCTCCCTACCACTGGAGAGCCTTGGGACCCACCGTAGACGATGACGGCAGCAGAGGCACTACGGCGACGGGCAACAATGTTCTTGGCCACACAGGTGTAGTTGGCTGTGTCAGCCAGGCGCGCCTGCCGCACAACCAGACTGTGTTCCCGCGTGATGTACACATTGGGGTCCAGAGATGGATCTACCAGGTCCTCGTTCCGGAGCCACTCCACCTAGGGGAGAAGCCATAAGACTGCACAGCCAGCCCACACTGGCACTGCCCGGAGCACAGAGTGAGCCCTGAGGAGAAGAGAAGGTGGGGGCCCAGGTAGGTAGACCAGAGAAGTGGGAGTTTTGGTCACCTGGAGTAGGCATGGGAGCCCCTCTCACCTCAGCTGGGGGAATGCCTTCTGGGGGACGGCAAGGCAGCACAATACCCTGCTCCAGGGATACCTCCTTGGCTGGCGGCTCCTGCTCAAAGTTCTTGCGCAAATCTGGAAGAATAACCATAGTGTCTTCTCACCTGAGTGCTTGCTCAGCCTGGTCAGCTCTATTTCTTGGTCATACAGGGCCACAGGGCATGGCAGGAGGAAGTGTCATGTGCCCAGGGGAGTCAGGAGAGGTTTAGCAATGTCCCTACAGATCCCCTCTACCCAGTAAAGGCAGGACAATGGAGTTTTCTGACCAGACCCCTTCTTCTGAGAAGCCTGCTTTCTGCCCTCCTGGTGACACTCTGGGGGAGTGGGCTGGGACTCACAGGCAATGCGGATGTAGGCCTTTTGACTCTTGGTGGTGCCCGAGGAGCTCCATGCCACGCACTGGCACCAGTATTCCTCCAGCCCGAACACCTTCTCAACCTGCTGCCTTGAGACGTTGATGCGGACCTCCATGGCTGGCAGCCCTGGGAGCACAGGGAAAACCAGTGAGCCTCCCCGTCCAAAGGGATGATACCCTGTACCACTCACAGCAGAAGAATGGACACAGAAAACCCTTAGCTTGGAGGGCACTCTGGTTATCCCAAGAGGGTGCTGATTTATAGCCCCTGGAGGCCAGGAGTAGTTTCTTTAACTTCCATTCATTCTACTGTTACCCAAGGCTCATCCTACTGGAGTCACTGACAGAAATATCCCTATGGGGGCTTCTGGTGGAGCTGTGGACACTAGGTTCTCACCTCTAAGGACCCATGCAGAAATAACAGGGCAGGCTTGCTGAGCTCTGGGGCCTTTGTGGGCACAAGCACATGAGCAAGGGTCTGCCCACCTCTCTGGGGGGCCAGTGGGTAGATCTTAACAGGTGATAACAGCTATGAACAACACAATTGCTGTCCCCTTGTATAGTCTGGTAACAGACCACTGGGATTTAATGAGGGTTTCCTGTCTGTGGGGAGTGTTATCTCATTTGATCCACTCTTGTGGTATTGTTTCTACCTAGACAAAAAGCTACGTAAGAAAGCACTAACTTGCCTAGGCATGCAAGGCTACCTGAGTCCAAAGTGTGACCAGGGTTCTGTGATCCCCCTGGGGCAGGCTGGGGGCAACCATCTCTTAGGGAGAAACACAGGAAGGTGGGGGGGTGGCCAGCAGAGGGGAAGCTGGGCAGTGATTAGGGACCCAGGGCCTGCTCTCCCTAATGAGAGTGGGCTGTGAGACCCCCTTTCTGCTGGGCCCCAGCTCCTGACAGTCTGCTACACCCAGCCCTAGGTAGTGGGGTATGCCAGGAGGGCTGCCCGCTCTGAGAAGCCTGAAGAGAGATGACATCCCTCTTCCCCTCCTCTGGGCTGCAGCCAAAACCAGTGTCCCCAGGAGTGAGAAAAGACTGTTTGTTTCCAATTTCTCCTCCTCCTGACCCCAATTTCCCTCAGGTCATTGGCTTATCAGAAAGAGGGAGAGAGGCCAGGCAGCCAATGTGTTTCCATTGTTAACAGAGAAATTCAATTAGGGCTGCCTTGCAGGAGGAGCACAGCCCGGCTGGGCTGGGCAGACTGAGAGACTGTTTTCCCTCTTAATTTCTCTAACGTGTCTTTTCCTGACCCCTTCCCAGATCTTTCCTCATGGAGTCTGTCTAGCTTGTGCACTACAGCCACTTGCCCCTGTCCCTTTGGCCAGTAGTAGAGTGTGTCACCTTCAGCTGAGATTGTTACTACTAGGCTACTTCCTCCCTTCTGGGCACCATAATGTTCTGCCTGGGGGCCTGCTCTCTATGGTACCTGCTGTGCATGTCTCCAGTGTGCAGAGGAGCTGAGAACCAAGGGAGACCCACAGGGCCCATGGAATAGGAGAGGGTCCTGGGAACCAGCTACCTGAGAAGCATATGGAGACTTAAGGCGCCTGAGAAGGAACTGAGAGGAGACAGCTCTCTTTGTTTATCCTCTTCTCTGCCTTGGGGGCCAGGGGAGGAGACCCCAGCACATCCTGAACCAGGTACTTCCCCTTCCCTGTGTGGAGAAGTCTATCCATGGCTTCTCCATCCCTGTGGTGGAAGAAGGGCAGGAGAGGGGGGCTTGGCAACCTCATGCACATCCCAGGCAGTTCAGTTTGGGGACAACAGCATTCTCCCTCTTCTATCCTGTCAACTCTTCTCACTAGAGTCCCACAAGCCTTGGGAGGGTTGAGGCTTGAGTTGGGTTTCCCTAACTCATCCTATGGCAAGGGCTGTGCTGGTAACTAAGCAGCGTGGTCCCTGGACAGTCCCTGGTCCCTGGTCCCAGGCAGTTTGTGGGTACAGCTGTGTGTGCCCCTATCTGGTAAATGTGAAATGCTAGCTTTGAGGAGGGATAGAAAGGAAGGAGGAACCCCAGGCTGGCCAACCTGGGACATGTGTTCATGTGTGAACAATGAAGGCACACATGGGGCATGGGGTGCAGACATGCTGAGTTTCTAGGAGATGGAGTATTGGCCTGGGGCTCTGAGGCTAAGTTTAGAAGCTCACCTCAATGTGTTTCTAGTAAAAAATTAGTTCATTTTGAATATGCAACAATGCTTAGTTTTGCAAATCTGAGGCTTTTACAGTGACAGCAGACTTGGGTTCTAGCATTTTCCAGCTTCAGTCCCTTCCTCTAGTGGGGAATGAAGGCAGGTGAGGGGCATTTGCTTTCTGGGGGAGTCTACCCCACTTTCCCAGCCCCAGTGTGAAAAGGCAGGGCTGCAGAGCTGGATGAACCTCTGGTCCCTGCCACAGCTATCTCGCAGACTATTTCTTGTTCAGGGCTTTGGGCTGTGCACTTGCCAGGTGCCACTGCCACGGCATCTGTTTGTGGGGATGCGAGGGAAGCCTTTTTCCTTGTCTCCAAGCACTCAATGGCTTTGGGTTGGGAAATCAATGGGATCAATGAGCGCTCAGATACACTGGTCACAGGAGGCCTGAGGTTGGAAGTTCAGGCCAGGAGAGGGTCTTTGCGGTTACGAGTGGTTCTCCATGAGCTCTGCTCCTCTGCTTGGCTTGAATGGAGCAAGGTTATGGGAGCTCTTGGGGGTGTGGGCTGGGGACAGTCAATTTGTATGCAGGACCAGCTTAGTGACTGCTCATTCGAGCAAGTGCTTGGCTCCCAGCCAAACCACACACCTGAGACCTTGTCACGGCAGTGGGGGGTGTTGGTCAGATGAGGGAAGGACTGGAGCTTCCCCTGAGGTTCAGGTCAGGTCTTCGAAGCTGCAGCAAAGTGGGTTTCTGGCTGCAGCTTCCTCCTCACCTGTCTTTTCCCTGGAGGATCTGCCCCAGCAGTGGGAGGACTCATGCTACAAAGTGGTGCTGGGCTCCAGGCAGAGTGTGGGAAGACAGGAAAGGGCTCACGGAGAACTCCAACTGGCCTATGAGATCTCAGGGTTCCCTCCAGCAATGTGCAAGGGTTCTCATCTCCAACAGAGTGTGTGTGTGTGTGTGTGTGTGTGTGTGTGTGTGTGTGTAGGGGGGCTTATCTGAGGTTCACAGTGGATCCTCCTGCTGGGGCATTTGGGCCCTAAAACTGTTCTCATGCATGGAGACACCTCAGGCAACTCTGCAGAGGGCATATACAGAAGGCTGTGATACCGGGAGGTGCTATAGGTGCCAAAACTGTCCCAGACTACATTGATCACTAAAGCTCTAGCTTGCTTGCTCCTCAGGATGGGAGGCATTGCTGGATCACCTGCCATGAGAGCCACAGAGCTTGCATTCCTAGTACCTAAGCTGGTAGCAATGAACACCTGAGCTCTGCAGGCATGAGGCAGCAACCAGCAGGCATACATTAGGTGAGGACAGCGGAGGGCACAGAGGCCTGCCAGGAACTACTACCCCAGACAGGTGGCAGGGAAATCCAGGTCTTCTGGTCATTTGGGACTCCTGTTGGTGAGCTGACACTTGGGGGTGGGAGGCTAGCCCACCTCTATCCAAACCCTAGCAGAGAAGGGTAGGGGTGTCTTCCATACACCAAGAGACCTGGTTGGAACCCTTCTGAGTCCCTAAACAGGTCATAGTCAAGGTCTCATCCAATGTGCAAAATACCAGGTTAGTTCTGAGTGCTAAATGATACACTAAGCTCAAGGCTTCTCAGTTCACACTCAGATTATTGCAAGAGATTTTAAACAATTCTTCCCAGCCATGGCCTCACTACTGTGGCCCTGCATGATCTTCTCATGGAACTACTGTGACACAGCCCTCTCTGGGCATCCACTTGTTCCCAGGGCACTTTCCCACCCCAAATCTGAGCCATCCCAAGGGCCTGGTGTTTCCTGGTTGGGGAATTATTCTTTAAGTTACTCTCCTATTTATTTTTTCAGTGTATTTAGTATAAGGTCTACAGGGTCTCACTACACAGATCAGACTCATAGTGATCCTCCTGTTTTCAGCCTCCCAAGTACTAGGATTATAGGTGCACACCACCACATTCAGTCTCAATCGCTGCCTCAGCACACCCCGGGGACAGGGCCGCATGGCACACCACGGATTGAACCCTGGTTCTTGCATCTGCCTAAGTAGGCACTTCAATCTGCTGAACTATCTGGCAGGCCCCTCTTTAAGGTACTCTTTCAGACCTCAGATTGTACATTATCTCTTCTGTAGGAATCTTTCCTGGGATACCCACCTGCTGACTGCTGGGCCTGGGGTCCCTGCGTGCACCTGGCGTTAGCCTGAATCCTAGGCACTGCCTGGTTGTCTCCAGCTGTCTGGCAGGCCTCAATAGCCTGCATGTCCTGCAGGGGATGTACACTGGGTGTTCCAGGCTGGCTGGGGCTTGTTGGAAAAGGGCTTGCGACTCAACCCAAGTGGGTTTTTTACATGTGGGGTGTTTTGCAAAGTGGCAGGGTATAGACAGGTCTTTGTCAGTTTCTGCCTATCTGGTGGTCCTTCTCTTGGAGAGCAATGGAAACCAAATGTGGGCTCTTTATCCAATCCTTTTTCCCAAGCCACCTGTGGCCTAGGCCAGCACTGGCAGTGGAGGAAAGCAGTGTCCTGTGCATAGGGCACCTGGGTCTGCCTGCTGGCCCACACACCCTGTGCCTCTCAGTTGAGTCCTGCTGGTTCCCTCTCCTTGTGTTTCTGGCTCTCTTCCTCTGGTCAGCAACCCCCAAGTATCACCCACAGATCTGGCTACAGAACTCTACAGTCTGGAACCTCAAGGACAGTGACATCATTTTAGTCCTCCTGAACATCCAGAACCCTCCCTGCTAGCCCTGACCAGTGTGCTGGTCACCTGTCTTTGCTTTGCTTGTGCTGTGTCCCCTGCCTGGAGTGTTTCTCCCGTCTTCCCTCCCTGGCTAATCCTTACTTCTCTCTCAGTTTACCTCCCCTGAAGATCCTCCCTGTGTGCCTTGAGCAGCCTCAATCTTGCTTTCCTCTCCCTGAGAAGTCACCCCCTTATCTGCCTCTCTGGGGCTGTGCTCCCATCAGGGGTAGGTGTTCAGAGAATATGTGAATGCATGCATGCATGAATAAGCAAACCCTTGTAGAAATCAATCACAGAATATGAAGTCCGTGAGTTCCGATCATCTGAGACTCCCTCCCTCCAACTTTCTGTGCTGGTTCCTCTCACCAGGCTGCTCTAGGTCTTGCCCAGTCCAGCTTGGCTCACCTTGGCAACTCTTGCTGTGAAATACTAGGGCATTTTGAGAGGGACCTCCCTCTTGCTCCCTTAACTGGCTGGTGAGATGAAGGTCTCCCCTGGGAAGGCCTCTGTGTCTACAAATGGGGTCCCAGGCCTGGGAATCCTGGCTAGTGCCATGGGAGCGAATGACACAGTGCTGGTTCCATCTGGGCCTTGCTGCTCATAGGTGTGAAGTCTGGGTCCCTGGCAGGCCCGAGCCTCACTTCCCCTCTGCTGCCTTAGCAGCTAACCAAGCCGGCCTTACCACTGCTCCCATCGGTGCTGCGCTCGATCACGTGGTCCACCTGGCGCACCCACTCGCCATTGCACTTGAAGAAGATCTGTGTGGCAGGCATGGCCTTGCATACCAGCAGCACTGGCTTGTTCTTGACAATGTACACATCCTCCGGCTCTACCAGGAAGTGGGGAAGCAGGTCTGGGTTGGCACCAGGCACTGGGTTGGCCACTGTGGCACTCTGCTGGGCACCTATAGCAAAAACAAAGGGGAAAGTAAGCTAGGCCCTCTTTGGGGGCTCCCCTAAGCATCAAAGACCCCAGCATGGAAGGGGGCTGGAGAAGAGTGAGTGCAGGCTCAGCCACTTCCCATCTGGGCAAACTCAGGCCCCTGGACACCTTCTCTGAGCCTCAGCATCCTCTGCACAACAGGGAACCAACAGCCTTCACACTTCTGCAAACTGATGAGACACAGTGACTCTAGGGTAGAAGTCTCCAAGCTTAGAATGTCCTGCACACACGGCAACCATGAAGGTTTATTATTTCCCTCGTAGAAGTTCAGGATTCTGGTGAAGCAGGCCACAGACCTGGGAAGTTGAAGGGAAACCTGGAGGCAGGTGAAGATCTTGGCAGGAGAGGGGGCGGTTTGGGATGGAGTCTCTTCATCTGGCTCCCTGGCCTGGGGCTGCTTCCAGGCACCCACTTCTGGTTGGTGCTTGCATATAGCAGGTGCTCAGAAAATGCAGTGATTGAAGGAAAGGAGTGGCCATGGAAGGTGCTGGGCAGTGAAATCAAAGGCCCAGGGGTGCTGCGTGTAGGGCAGGGGCTTCTGGGGAAAGGGGTAGACAGCAGGGTGGAAGCCACTGTGTGTCTGGGAGTCCTGGGGACCTGGGCCACTTCCCACCTCTTCAAGGAGCTCTGAATATGGGTTTCCTTCTAATTTTAACCAAAACCCACAACCATCCCACAAGTCATTTGTTTCTAATTACACAGGTAATTGGCTCTGAGGCACTGGTGAAAGTAAAGCCCCTAGAGCAGTCTGGCTCATCTGCGACCAGCAGGACCCCTGAGAGGGGTGGGGACAGGGTGGGGGCACCCACAGTTCTGCCTCCTTCCCAGGGCTGCAGTGGTGCCCCACCAAAGTACATCCACAATTAATGGGGACCTCTGGGCATAAAGAGAGGGAAACAAAACCCATTCTGTTCCTGCTACTGGGCGTTGAGTGTTGACCTTGGGAAATCACTGACATCGAAATCTGTGAAATGGAGATCAGGCTGGGCCTGGGGGGATCCTGAGGACCTCACACAGCTGGCCTGTAAGCTACTGTACCCTCCTGTGGGATTCTAAAACCCACCATGGCTTTAAATGAAGAGGCCTATCTCCTATCTCTGCAACTGTTCCCAACAAGTACCCACAGCTGTGGCTCCCCTCTCCAGCGGGAGCCTAACAGCATGCATGTGTATCCCATGGCCATCCATGCAGCATGTGAACAGGTAGCAAACTAGGGGTGCTGCTGAGGCCGAGGGCCTTGGTGTGACTTCCAGGGAGTCTATCACACCCAAAGCTTATTTCCTCACCTGAAAAGTGGGCAGACAGATGGTGCCCACGTCTCAGGTTTTGAGGGTGAAATGAAAAGGCACATGAGGCACTTAGTTCAGCTGATGCCAAGACCAGGGGTTTCAGCTGAACTCACAGCCAGCTCTTCAGGGGTGGCTAGTAAGGAAACTGAGATATAGAACTGGCAGGTGCCTTGCCTTAGGATGGCAGGGGGAAATTTACTAAGCGGAGGAGGGCCACAGCTGTGTCTTGCCTCCCTCTGAGGCACAATGGGTGTAGCAGGCTTTCTCTGACACAGCAGGGTGGGCCTGTCCCCCTCCAGCACCCTGACTCTCCTGTCCCCCCACCTGTCTGTCTCTTTTCTCTACAATGTGTCCTGACTGTGCCCTCTCCCTCTTGTGACCTCTCTTGGCAAGTATCTCCTCCCATGTTCCTGCAGCTCCATAATGAACACCAACCACATGTGCAGTTGGTGAATACAAAGGTCATTATCCCAGACCCACAGACCTGAACTACCCTTTGCTTAGTAGGCTTAAGGCCCAGGAAGTGGGGGATGCAGCAGAATGGAGAAGCCATCTAGACTCTTTCCAGATTGGGAATCCGAGTCTCTTTCTACTGTCCCTCAGCAGCTACTGCCTAGCCCTTGACCCAGGTGGTGGGCCCAGGGAGGGCAGGGCTGAGTCTGGCTGTTGACTATGTGGACCGTGTCCTAGGTCCATCAGGCCCCACAAGGGCTGGAGAATGAATGACAGGGAGTGGGGCTTGTGAGGATGGCTCTGGTGTGTGGGAGGACAGCAGGGGCTGGCAGGCCAGGTGACCTCTGTAGGCATAGACCAGAACCAGCCATAGCATCTTGGTGGATGCCAGGGCTGCAGAGAACACTGTCAATGCTGGGCCTCAGAGCAGGGGCTGCAGGGGTAAGGGACAAGCAACATGGAAAACACCCCAGAGCATGTCTGTATCTCTTCCACCAAACTCTGTAATAAACAAGCTTGTGGTGATGGCTGAGCCTGCCTCTTGCCCTGTGCACAGGGATCCCTGGCTGGGTATGTGGGGCGGGGAGTGGCGCGTGATTCTCCAGATTCTGCAATCTCCCGATCGATCACTGTGCCAAGCCCTGCTCACGTCAGCCGCCCGCTGAACCCAGCACAATCCCTCATGTCTGCATTTAACTGCTAATGAAAAATAAATGTACTGTGACCAATAAGGGACATAGCTCACTTCTCCAGGGCCTCCGTCACGCCAGGCTGGTGTGCCCACCCCCACCTTGGGGGACATTTATTGGGTGGCCCCAGGGGATACCCTCTAGGCTGTGGCTATGCCCTCCAGCAAGGACATTCTAAGGCCCTGGGGAGGAGGGATGTAAATTCAGGCCATCCTGGATGTCCTCTAGAGATTATAGGGTGCCAGCCTGGGCAGTCAGAGCTCACTCCCCAGCCCTCTAGCTCCCTGAACTCATGATGTGACCTCTTCCCTATGGTCACCACTTGTGATCTTTCCCTTCTCCACAATGTCCCACTTAGACCTCTCACCTAGAGTAAGACCCATTATGAGCCCAGAGTCTCTCTCTGCTGTGTTGCAGGCCACAACAGCAAGCATTCTTCCTCTTCTGCATGACACTTGTTTAGCAAAGACACCACCAACCAGTGCATGCTCAGAGTCAAATGCTCCAAGATCCTTGTCACATAGCATGAGAGCCCTCTAGTGCCGGCCTCCACCATTTCCTATTCCCCATGCTAGGCCTGCTTCTTCTATGTCACTTGTCTTCCCTGCTCCCAGAATTGACTCAGGAGGTACCTCTGGCTGAGCCTTCAGTCCTGGCATCAGTCAACCCTGCAGAAACCCCACTGATAATTCTGAGACACTAGCATCTCACCTCTCATACTCTTCTCTAATTGAACACCCATCTCACACACATCCCATCTCTCTCTCTCTCTCGTGTGTGTGTGTGTGTGTGTGTGTGTGTGTGTGTAACCGGGTATTGAACTCAGGCCCTTGCACTTGCCAGGGAAGCGTGTATTCCACTGAGCCATCTCCCCAGCCCACACATCCTGTCTCACACACATCTCACCTCACCCTCTCTGTACCTGGGGGATGCCTTCACTGGTCCTGCAGCTTAGCACAGGACAAGCAAGTGGGTGGCCAAGGCTTCTGCGCCATCACCTGACTGCCCCTCCCTGCTCATTCTTGGTCCCTGCCACCTGCTTGGTGCAGGTGCTGGCAACTGGCGACTGGGAGTGGGGTGCTTATGGTTGAGGATTTGGAGGCTTTAGAGGGTACAGCTGTAGGAGGAACATTCTGCCAGGATAGGAACACCTGGGTCGCAGGTGGCTCCTGGGGCTGCAGGAGAGTGGGCGGGTACAGGGTTCAGGCCTTGCTATGTCCTGAACCTGGCACAGCCCTGGTTTCCCAGGGGCTCCTTCTACCATGCTTCAGTCAAGGCTTCCCACACACTCACAGTGTCACCTAGCTGCCCTCTTAGAGCTCAGAAGTCTTCTTTCATTTATGAGATCCCACTTCATGTTTGGCCACTGGAAACTGTGGATGGCCTGCAGAGATACTGCGGGTCCTGAAATGAGAACCACTGCAGTGAGCTCTTTGGCTGGTCAGCTGACCCTGCTGCTTTCAGGGTAACCTGGTTGCCCATGTCAATGGGGCGAGGCATCTCAGCAAGGGTGAGAGCAGCAGTCCTAGCAGTCCCACTCCTAGTGGCTTCTTAGGGACACAGAAAGAGGGGAGTTGTGCATGCAAGCAGGCACACATATGTGTAGGGAGGCTGGAGGCCTAAGTGGTGGCAGCTGTCAAAGGAAAGGAAAGCAGACAAGGCCAGAGAGCCAGACACAAAGAGACAAGAAAGAGACCCCAATGTGGGGACCCTGGTGAGAGCTGGGCCTAGAACACACATCCTGTTCTCTCATGACCTGAAGTGCATCTGACAAATACTTATTGAGCACCTGCTGTGCGCCAGAAAGTGTTCTGGGCACTGAGAAACAGTGAGCGAGACTGACAGAGGCCGGCTCTCAAAAGCTCAGGGAAACAACGTGCAGACAAGGGTAACATGGACCGGTGAAAGGAAGATGTTTCAGAAAGGGGATGGGTGGTGAGAGGGCTCCAGAGGGGAGAGGCTCAGGAAGGAACATCTGAGCAGCTCCGGGACAGCAAGGCCAGGTGGAAGAGTGTTGTGGGAGATAGGAACAGTGATGCCCCGAGGCAGGAAGCAGCTGGCTTGTCTGGGGCCAGGCAGGCGTGGCCAGAGCAGCGGGAGTCAGTGGAGGCTCCCAGTCAGGGAAGCACAAGGGGCAAGCCCTTAGGGACTCTCCGGGTGGAGAAAGGGTGTGAGATTCCCTTGCCAGGCTCCTGGGGACCCACTGGGGGCTGTGTTCAGGGCCTTGTGAAAGGCAGTGGGTAGATAGATGGGGAAGCTGCTGTAGGCGTCTAGCACAATGGTTGGTGATGGGCCTGCCCCACCTGCGGAGCATCAGCAAAGGCACGGCCTCCTCTGGGAGATCTTCCTGAATCCACACTCTCACTCACCCAGGTAACTGACCTGGCTCCCAAGCCTCCTTCCAGGACTTCCACCAACTTTGGTACCAGTGTTGCCTCTCTCAACAACACCATGAACTCACATAGGGCAGGAGCCTGGGTTGGGCCTGAATGTTGAGGGTGTGTTTGTTGAGTGACTGAGGGATGCCTTAG